ATCCATTTTACATCGCTACCCAAGTAACCACCAAGCAATTGCATCGCCTGTGTGCTACTAGCAGTAAGAGATAAAATCGTCATCGTTTACTCCAAGGACATGTTGTTTCAGCCCCGTTCCATTGCTCGCGCTGCTTGATACTACGGCTAAGACTCATTTCATGAACACGACGTAGTCTTATTTGCTGCATCCGTTTCTTTGCCAGGGCAGTACCGCTACAGGCAGCCTACCAGTTGCAGCTTGGCTACATTTGCGTGAGACTTGCTGCAACGTATTTTCCACCTCGAGCTTGAAGTGCAAGAGACTCACGATGGTTTACCGCAAACGCCGTTGTGGCGAAAAGGGGTACTGTTCCGCCATTTACAGTCCGCCACCTCATGTTGCCGTGAATATCCTCGCCACCAAGCCGACCAATGCCTCCGACCCAGGTCAGCATGACATCCTCCACGCGGCGACATCTGGTTCGGGCCGGGTTGAGTGGCTAGCGGGTTCGATCAAAATGACGTGGGTTTATCTCTCGAAACTGATACCCTGTAAATGTGATATTTCAACAAAGAAGACAAATATTCACGTTGTATCTTGCCTCGATTTTCGGCTACGATATGCTGATCTGTCTACTACGTAGTATGACATTGATGCTCACACACCTATGCAAAGAATATCTGGGCATCGAGAACATTTTATAGAACATAGGACTTGTCAAAGGAGTATCCCCTTAATTTTACTTGATCACTTCCATCCTTTTTTAAATTTGACAGTGTGGCCAATTTAGCAAAGAAGACTCATCTGGGAGACTGTGCTCATTAAATACAGTAATAGGAGTATAGCAAGAGAAAACAGTGATATGATGTCGAGGGCAATTGAATAGCATCTTTCGTCAAGGTATACAGAGCGCTACCATAGTAAAAAAAAAACTTTAGCTGCACGCCTTCATCTTTATTGTTTTCTGGACTCTGCAGCTGCCATCTCATAGCGAGCTATTAGGTTATCGAAATATCTACCATGGACTGGTGCCCCTCGTGTCAATTTGCACTGAAATTCTGCACTGTGCGTTTGCCATTCCTGATTTTATTCATTTATAGAGGTAAATGGGTCGGGTGGGTTTGGAGCAAGAAAGGGGGCGTTTCTTCGCGAGCCTTCCCAAGCTCACTTTCAGAATTCCCGACGCTTAATCAGGGCGGTAGACGGTCGTACAGGAAGGCGTAGACTACAACAAGCAGCCAGCAACCATGGGTATGGCCTTTTCGCGCGTGTTCGAGCGCCTCTTCGGCAAGAAGGAGATGCGCATCCTTATGGTCGGTCTCGATGCCGCCGGTAAAACCACGATCCTGTACAAGCTTAAGCTAGGAGAGGTGGTTACTACCATCCCTACTATCGGTACGTCTAGTCGGCATTACCACACACAAGATACACATACAGGAGATACTGCCATGCTTCATCCCTTTCCATCTCTGTCGTTTTAATCGTCTTGTTGAGATGAAGACGACGGAAGGGTCGAGTGTAGCCAGGATCTCTCGTATTTACCCTCTACTATTGCACGATATCTGGAGCTAAACTTCTATCCATTACCAGGTTTCAACGTGGAGACGGTGGAATACAAGAACATTAGTTTCACGGTGTGGGACGTCGGTGGTCAGGACAAGATTCGTCCGCTGTGGCGCCACTACTACCAGAACACACAGGGTCTGATCTTCGTGGTGGACTCGAACGATCGCGACCGTGTGGACGCTGCTCGTGACGAGCTGCACCGTATGCTGAATGAGGACGAACTGCGGGACTCTGTGCTGCTGGTGTTTGCCAACAAGCAGGATCTGCCGAACGCTATGAGTGCCGCAGAGATGACGGACAAGTTGGGACTGCACGGTCTGCGTCACCGCCAGTGGTTCATCCAGGCGTGTTGCGCGACGACGGGTGACGGTCTGTACGAGGGTCTGGACTGGCTGTCGGCCACGCT